GAGATTTATAATCAAAAGAATTGTTTATTATAGAAGAAAATGTTTTAGAAAAAAGAAATTGCTATGGATCATCACTGGTATTATGTTTGTTGTTTTGATCGTAACTATTCCAATCGTGATTATTAAAACCAAAACAGCAAATATAATAAAACTATCAACTGAGAAAACAGAAATAACAACGCATGAATTTATAACAACAACAGCAGATAATCCAACGATAGAAGGTATAATATTAACAAAATAAAAAAAAACTGTAATCTTTTCTTTGTTAGTAAATGATTAACACATTTTCATGATGCGTTAAGTGTTGAATTTATTATTGAATATTTTATAAGAATATTCATACAGAATAGAATTCTATCGTTTATTTTTGGACAGAGATAAATTCTAAAACACATTTTACGAAGAGAAATATCGATACTTTTCATGAAGTTTATAGTTCGATTTATCGAGAAAGACCTTTGAAGAACTATTTCAATAAAAGAAGATTTAATTCTTTTTCTTCAAAACGATCTTTGTCTTTGTATGAGTGTGTTTTATTGTGATTCTTTACTTAAAGTTGAGAGATAAGAATACAGATTCACAAGTCTTTTACCAATTTATAGAATAGATTTGACAAACGATAAATATTTGAGAAATATAGAAGGAAATTAGAAAATGTTTTCCAAAAATTGGGTTTTGAAAGTTTATTAGAGTGTAATTTCTTCAAGGAAACATCTTATAATCAGAATACAAAGCAGATAAAGGTGATTAGATCTTGCAAATTTAGACGGAAGATAGATGTAATTTGATCTTGTGTATACAAATAAAACTGATGTGACTAAGATATATGAACTTTGATTTTTGACACTTGTAGAAGATATCGAATGGACTATTTTTGAAGTAGTTAAGGACATCCATACACGAACTATAGTGATTATATTGGACCATGCGTATCTTGACTAAGATCTTGTAAAACTATATCAAAAACCAAATTAGAGATCTTGATACAGGGCAACAATATATTCTTGTATCTAAAGTTTCAAAATCTTTTTAGTTCTGTATACCGCGATCAAGATCTTTCTGATATGATGTTCGCTTAGAGTATAATATTTTTAAAATTCCAATAGAAAACTAATCGAGAAGCATCTATAGAAAATATGGCAGAACAGACTTCAAAGAACAAATTCCGATTCACTTGTTCGAAAGAAAAAGAAAAACATATTTTTATTCAGTTTTCTTTTGTTATTTAAAATATCAAAGATAAAAGTTAAATTATCTTTTACCTTCGACTAATCTCAATGAGAAATTGTTTTTTTTGTTGATTATATTTTCAAAAAGTCGCAAAAATCTTCGATCGAATCATTCATTCATAAATTCAACAAATCTTTAAAATCCATTTTCCGCTTTAACTCCATTCAAGAAACAACCTTTACATTGCTTTCTTCTCGAACTTTGCAAAAAAATTAAATGAAATTTCTTTATAAAAATTAATTCTATTTTTTTTTGCTTTGACATCTATGATTAAATCGATATTGTTAGATTTTAATTAAATGTCAAATTTTTTTTTTCTCTTGTAGTACAAACCAAGCCAAAATATGACAAATGGAAACAACATGGAATTACTATTGTTGGAGGAAATAGAATTGGAGATCAATTAAATCAACTCGCTTTTCCTACCGGGGCTTATATCGATGATAAGAAAGCCATTTTGATTGCTGATTTTCAAAATCATCGTATTGTTGAATGGAAATATAATTCGAACAGTGGTCAAATCGTTGCAGGCGGCGGTGGACGAGGACATAACCAGCATCAACTTAATATGCCAACCGACGTAATTGTTGATGAAGAGAAGAATGCGATAATCATATGTGATTCTGGAAACAATCGAGTAGTACGATGGTTTCGTGAAAGTACAACATATCCAGAAACCATCATTGCTAATATTCACTGTGACGGTGTGGCAATAGACAAAAATGGGTCTATTTATGTTTCTGATCGCACAAAGTCTGAAGTGAAACGATGGAAAGAACGAGACATATCTGGAACACTAGTTGCAGGTGGAAATGGCAAAGGAAATCTTCGAAATCAATTCAATAATCCTGGCAAGATCTTCGTCGATGAAGATTATTCTGTTTATGTATTGGATGAAGCAAATCATCGTGTAATGAAATGGAAAAAAGATGCAAAAGAAGGAATTGTTGTTGCCGGCGGAAATGGAAGAGGATTTGATCTCAACCAATTAACTTATCCCAGTGGACTAGTTGTTGATAATTTGGGCCGAATCATTATTGCAGACACTTGGAATCATCGGATTATACGATGGTGTGAAGGAGATACAAACGGTTCAATTGTTCTTGGTGGAAATGGCAATGGAGGAAGTAAACCAAATGAATTGTATTTACCCAAAGGTGTGTTATTTGATATTGAAGGAAATCTTTACGTTGTTGATTGTAGTAATCATCGAATTCAAAAATATGAACAATGTATTGAATAAAATGAAAATTGTTTTATTTTGAAAATAACTCAATTGTGAAATACTATATTGATCGAAATAAAAGATAAAATCATTTGATTTTGAATGAAAAATTTCTTTTAGTTTATGAATTATTAATCAAAAATGAAATTGGTAATAGTTTCTTGAGACGTCTTTTTTCACGTGAAAGTTTAATATAAATAAGAAAAGAATTTTTCTTCTATAAACTATAATACATACTTTCCTTATAATGTCGTCAAAATGAGAGTGTGTGGAAAGTCTAATTCCAATTGAAAATATTATTTTAAAAGAGAAGATCGAGAGGAATCAACAAAAACAAAGCAGCCAACGTCTTTTACGTTATTGTTTTCCTTCCATTTTTGTTTTGATCGGCATGGGTTCAACCACTGTAGTACATCGATGCTGAGGTAACTTTCTCGTGAATATAAGTGCTGAAGAAATACAAGTCTTTCGATAATTTTTTTTCTCTTGCCCTCTATCATGCTTTAAACTATTATTTAATGAAATAACTGAGGGTGTGGGTGGGTGTAAATAATGAAAGAAAACACCCACCTACCTGCATACCCTCGAAAGAATGATCGAAAATTTCCAAAAAATTCAAATGTCAACACAAACTACATAAACTTACTTTTCATTGATGTTTATCCTGCCGAACTTAAACTCATTCGGTGGAACAATGGCAAAATTTTAAAGTTTAATAAAATAACCTATTTTTTTATAGTGTATATTAATATCATTTCATAATAAGATTAATAAAAATTCTCCTCAAACATCGTTTGAAAAGAAATTCGAAACGCCTCGCGCATTATACGATTATTTATCATTAAAAATATTTATTATTATCTTTTTCCCTTTGTTTCTCTTCATTTCCTCTACAATTATTCCACCAGTATTTGTATAAACATTTGTTTAATTTTTTCTTAGAGTAAAAAATAATTGAAAAAAATTTCTCTGTTTTGTTTCTTTTACATAAAATCTCAATGATCCTCCTAATAACTTTGTTAACTTGAATTTATTTAAAAATAATAAATAATTGTAAAAGAAACCGATTGCTTTCATGTCTTCTATTATTCACAGTCTCCACTAACCATCGCGAATAACGATCACCAACCAAGAATGCATTATTTTTGTGTGTTTATGTGCGTGGTTTTGTGTTGCTTGTCTACCTGAATGAAGCGCTGTACAAAAGAAAAAATAAAGGAAGAAAAAAAATTTGCGCCGAGTCTACCAAAGTAATAAAAAGAAAAAATTGGGATGCAATAATCGAGCAAATTAACGTTACGTGCGCATTCGTATACCTATATTAATACAAGCAAGCCAACTCAACCATTACTTTTTTACTTTTACATTTTCGTCACAGCAATTTTACTGTATCGAACAGCACGTATAAAGCTAACTGACAAATTCGTTTATTTATACCCTGAGAAAAAAGTTGTTGATCCTATTCAAAGCTGATAACAAGAATAGATCAAATGAACTCAGCAACAGAAATATCATGTATTCCAAAATTAACACCGACGATAACTGAATTCACAAATCTCCTCAAGTACATATACGACAACGAAGCGTTGATTGCTCCGTATGGCGGATGTAAAATTATTCCGCCTCAAGAATGGACAAAAGTGAAAGCGCTCTCTTTGTTGTCGATCGATCATGCACCTTCGATCAGCCGGCAAAGTATTATCAAGCTATCATCACTTGTTTTTCGCGTCACTAATACCCAACGCAAAAGCCTAAACGAACAACGAGGAATGGAACTCAAGGCATTCGTCGAATACGCACAACGTCCGCAGAATCGGGTTCCTTTCGAAGTCACCGATATTGAATCTAACGTGTGGACAATGCTTAATTCGAATGATATCGCCAAACGCACCATTCGATCTGCTATCAACATTGATTATAGTCTTTTTGCACCATCCGAAACGATCTTTAATCTGACTGATATCTCACTCAAATCTCTACTGTCGCTGACCACTCAATGCATTAAAGGTAATTAATCCTTTCAGAACGGAGTTTTTTTCCTATCCAAAATTACCTCCTTTCATTAGTTTGTTGATTCTGATTCAAAATGTTCTCATAAAAACTTTATAATATCCACAGAAACAGTTGACATGAAGAGCATTCGATGTTTGATCGAACTTGTACTTCTTTGATGCTACAGTAAGCACATCTCCTTTCTGTTCCGTTGATAGGTAAATAAATTCCATCCTTCACCTAAACAGCAGATTGTGGTGATACTAATTTACGCTTCTAGTCTGAAGAAGGTCTTCATCAATGTATTCGTTCAGCGCCAAAGCACATAGACTTAGCCCTCGAAACCAAACCATTCAAGTATGACAATTCTTTATGAGTTAAGTAATTTGGAGCAAAAATGAAACAACATGTCAGAGGTAGACAAGAAAACTATGACGTCATTGTAAAATCACAGAAAGATATGTATAACATGACAGTCGGAGCACACCATGATCTCTATATATAAGAAATTTTAATAGTAAGTGTAAATGAAATATCTCAAATAATGGACGAGAACGAATCATGCTGAAGTAATCCTCAGAGTGTGTATACTGACCATTTGAATGATATTTCCAAAAACGTTTCGAGCAATAAAATTTGGCAACCTCTTTGAAGATACGATTTTCATTATGCTACAATATGGATTGCACATTTATATAACTCTTAGAAACTTCGATACAGCCGTATGCTTGGTCAAAGTATGACGGAGACACTTCATTTTTTTGCAAAAGTGACTTTTAGGTCACTTTTATGCTAAACAGAGAAACATATGTATCTATGCCATTCGGCACAACGTTAATTCGACTAATTTCTATCTCCAACTATATCTGTGACTCTATGGAAACGTTCTAATGTAGAAGTCATTGTAGGACAAGCGATTACATCATAGGACAGAAAGAGGAATACCACGCGCGCACTGGACAGTGAAGAAGTCATCCAGATATAAAACGAACAACATACAGGCAGTGAGTCAGACAGGTTAATAACTGCCCCAAGTATGTTATGTTATTAGCAATCTCAGCAAAGTATAAGCGCTAAGTATACATAATATTCCTGGACGAAAATTATAGAACAACTGAGAAGTGCATTTATTATTGGCAGAATAGTCTTGATTCTTTTACATCAGTGTGATGATAGTTGTATAGAAACTTAATAAATAATCAAATATTTCATACTTCTGCACAGGTATTACATCACCATTTCTTCATGTTGGGATGCACGGTTCAATATTTCCTCTACATACAGAAGAACATGATCTCTTTTCAATGAATTATATGCACGAGGGATCATCTAAGTTCTGGTATATTGTACCCCCTTCACATGCGAATCAACTAGAGCGATGTGTCCAAGACGTTGATATTCTTGACACATCCCATTGTCAAGCATCTCTGCGACACAAAACTCTCTTTCCAAATCCATTTGAACTCACTCAATTGCACAATATTCCTGTTTATCGAATCGAACAATGTCCAAACGAAATAATCGTCATCTTTCCTCGAGCGTATAATTGGGGTTTCGATGGTGGGTTCAACGTAACTGAATCAATTAATTTTGCTTTACCTTCATGGATTCCATTTGGACGGAGCGCTCGTTCGTGTTTATGTCAACGAGTAGGCAATCCTGTCGAGCTATATATGGATCCTTTTACTAAAGAAAACGTGTTAACATATACACAAACTCATTTGAATAGTCAACTTCCTGAATTGGACCATATTCTGATGGAGTCAGACAAACAGCCAATATTAGATTTAGGTTTGTCTTATTAGACTTATTCTCCAACGTTTGTTTTCATTGCAAATAAGTTTCTCTCGTTCACAGAAAAAGTAAAACCAGAAATGTTAGAGCTCTTATAATGAACGTACGTTTATCAGATTCACAACAATAGAAGCCTCGATCCAATATTCATTTTGGATTCTTAGTAATCGAATAGGGATTACTTCTATATAAGCTTACTTCTCAAAGTCAATCATCTAGGATGATTCAGCATGCGAATGTAGAGGTGTTGACGCAATGCTTTTTGTATGAAATGATTTTACTGTGCAGAGCTCCGTCAGATCAGTCGCACTTTGTCGCCATCTCTAATTTGGATTACTCAAGTTACAATGATAATCGTGCACCTGAGATTCGCTAAGACAGTTATTTGTTTGAGTGACAGATAATTTCCTGAAATATACCAGTTTCTATTGTAAAGAAAAACACACACGTTCTAACTAATTACAGGACCCAATAAGTTCTACTGACTCTGCAAATCCTGCATAAATATTACAAAAATTCTCTTAAATTATTAAATACTGCCGCCGATGAAGAATCGAATGGCCTATTTAAAGTTTAGATTTTATGAGCTTTATTCCAGATATTATAAGATGAAGATAACTGTTTGTCTCGTCTCAGAATATCAATTCACTCTATATGTATTTGCATATTTTATTTTATCCTTATGTTTCAACAGAATGGACTGAATTTTTGTTAGCATAACGAGAATTAATAATAATAAAAATATAAATTTGAAGTTTGTTGATTCCTTTCATGGTATAGGGCACGTAAAAACGAAGAGAATATTCTTCTACAAAATTATGTGACAGAAAAATCTTCATGCACATACGAGACTATTTTCACTGATAAGAAAGATTAAAGGACTAATGCTTTATTCATTCTACAAACAAACCGGAAGTGCCAAGTTAAAGTATAAAAATTTGAGAAAATCACTAGATTAAATTAACGACTAAAATCTGTTCATTAAATAGAAATCAGTTATTATTTCTACCACCTACCATCAACTCAATATAAAAAGAATAAAAACTACGGTCTACAAGATGAGCGTGTAGTAGACATTCAACTGACTGATATATAAACGTAATGCAATGTTGTGCGTAAAGAACTTGTAGAATTTCAAAATTCAACTTGACACTAAAAATAGAATTGTGAAAAAACAGCGATTCAGTAACACCTCGTAATAGAACATCGTCCTAGAGTGTGGGTGTTAGAGATACATGAAGTAGTGACATTCACATCCACACCCACACCCTGTATAAGACCATGATTTTTTACTATTGAGCGGGAGGATATAATATCTATCTTAAATAATGCAATATATATCAATTTTTTCTTCAGAACTAGTGACATCAAATGTCCAAGCAGCAATGTTTACTTATCTTTCATCTGAGGAAACCAATGCGCTTATGGATGACGATTTTTCCATTTACTTTTCCGTATCACCCCCACAAACAACTTCTGTAGTTGCATATACAGCCGAGAACGAGAACGAACAACCTCTACTATCACTGTCAACGTCACGAACAACAACACCGACAGAAGAACTGCCATTCGATCGTTGCACTAGTCTAGAAATTGGCAACATAATATTAAAACAAGATGAAATAGCTGCTGAAACCGCACGTATTCGTCGCAAGTGGGTAGAAGAAAAAGACACACTCATGGCTCGACTTGTTGCCGATATAACTAAGCCTGAGATCGGCAGTATTTATCAGTGGGAAACATTAGTTAACAGTGATGATGTCGTTTTAGACGACTATTTACCTGAAAACATATCAAAATATTTTCAAGGCAATAAAAAGGTGATTGAGTCGTTTGCTGATTGGACTGTTGCATTTATGTGTTTCCGAAAGGCAATTCTTTATATATTCAAACATCGAGGGCTTGAACTAGACGCACATTTTGAGCACATCTCTAAGCTTTTCAGAGATTCGTATTCAATCAAGCTTATACTGGCCTATGAAAAAGATATCCGTCATCATGTTACTAAAATGCCTAATCTAAGTTTATTTTCTGACTTTTCCTCTCTGTGGAACAAATATTTCATGAATGTTCAACCGACAATTATTGTCAAGAAGACACAAGAACAGAAACAAATCTGCCCCAATTACAACAGCTGTTTCAAGCGATGTAAAACATCGAAAAAGCGTTCACGACTTCATATCTGTTCTAGTTGTCTCAATCCAATGAGTGTTCAAAGGAAACATCCTGCTGCGTTGTGTCCTGCTCAACGGCGACACGGTCGGCGAAAACAACCGTCAAGATTACCGTTCACATCTAGTATGCTATCAATAATATCTCAAGGATACCTTCCATCACACTATCCTTATTACCATATGGGAATAGACAATACCAATATACTATTTTTATTTTAAAACTATTCTAAAAGTCATACACTGACAATATTATCCGTTATGGGCGTGGGTGTGGCTATGAGTTTATTTTTCAATATTGTGCCCATAATACATCCATACCCTTCTACCTGAATCAGTTTCAATCGGCGAGGTCATTCTTTGATAATTCATACTATTCCTCTTCAGAAATGTTAATTCTACATAACGTTTGTCAGCCATAATATCATCTTAAAAAACGAGCAGATCAATGAAGATAATATTAACTACTTGTTGTGTGTTGGTGAGTCATGTGTATCTACCCGCGATACTTATATAGAAAAAGTGCATCCTACCATTTCAGATACAGTAGAAGAAGAAGAAGATGACAATGTATCAATAAAGCAGCGATGAAACATGTTATTCATATTTTTCAATTTGAGGTACTGTTGATATTCTAAGAAAGAGTCGAATATCCCCAACAAAATCATAGCAAAAAAATCAAACCGCAAATAATATTGATCAGAAGTATTTTCATCTTATTTTGAGGATGCGGATGTAGACAAGACGGATAGATCAAAATACGTATTTATATTATGTAATAACCAAACATGTCACTCGTACCTACACCAAAAACTTCTTTAGGAATTAATAACAAATTGTCGATAAGATGTATAAATGTTCACATTATCTTGAGAGATCCAATGACTTAAATTGATTCATCACATTTGTTGCCAACTTATTCTTCTCTCATAATTACTTATTTCAATATGAAATAAAAACAATGATTATGATTGAAAGTTTTTCAAATGCAAATACGATATGGAAATTTAAAGCCGAGTGAATTTTATTGAAATAAACTTAAACTTGTTCAACTGAAAAATATTTATTGTCTTTTTACTTTGAGGTTAATGAAATATTCTATTCATGATTTCTCATATTGTATTTTCTATTATATCTTTATTTATGTTATCGGAGAAGCTATTTTTCTTTATTTCAATTTTTATCAAAGGATTCTTCTGAGTAATAATATATATTTAGAGAAAAATTGTCATTTATAGTATCATTATTAACTCTATTTTTAAGTGACACTTCATGATTAAGATCAGAATTATTATTATTTAGTCAGTTATCATTGATCTTTTTTTCTTTACGACAACAAAAACAACAGATACAATCATAATATTCTCTGGAAGTATGGAGATAAATATTATATTGTCAATATATTCTTTACTAAATAATCCATTTTTATTAGAATAGAAAAAAGAAAAAAGACATAACTATTTATCTGGAAGTTGTGTAGAATTATATTCAAATTTTGAAAGAATATTTTTCTTCGATAACATATTAGAGGAAAGAAAACACGTCATCAACTTAGTTTTTCTAATGTAATCATGGAGATGCTTTTTTCTATTCACTATAGAAGTTAACTTTTTCGTGCCATAATTATTTGTTTAGATGTACTTTTTTTGTGTAGCAACATAGTTTGTGTTATTGTGATTATAAACGACATATGTTTTCTGAAGACAAATCGAAAAGAATTTCCAACTAATTTTTGTCTTCTTTTGCATGCAAGATACATAATACATCCTAGCAATATACAAATTAAAGAAAAAATAAGGAAAATAGTTACTAGATGAATATGTTTTCAAAAGAAAAAAAGAGTTTTGAACGTAGTTTTATGATAAACAATTATTTTAGAATACTAGAAAAACTCTGTTTGTTTTGTTCTCAATTCACACTATTATACACAGATATCAATCAAAAATGCAAGAATAGAAACGATACGACAGAAAAAAAATGCGAGATTTTCGAAATGTTGCTATACTGTATGTTATAAACACTCGAAAAATCCAAGTGCAGTTAGTTTAGGTTAAGAAGACTGTATAAGTTGTTTTAATTTTCTTGTCTAATCAAACAGCTCATCTGTTTATTCAACTCCGTTTAGATACTAATGATCGATTTTATTCTTCATGTTTTTTATCTTTACTCATTTTTGATAGAACCCAAAAAGTCTATTTATGAATATATTTGTTCTCAAATAACATTTAAACACAGACATATTATCTTTCTGAATGGATAATATTTTTCTTTTGAAAAAATAAACAGGACCCAAATCGAAGGATGGATGTGAACTAAAAATAGCATCCTCACTCATACTTAAGCATACTCATCAATTGTCAATCCACTGTTATTAAAATCTAAAAGAAGTGAAATCTTTACACGTTAAAAAAAACATCTATTTTGTAGTTATGTGTGATACATTCAAATATTGAAAGAAAGTAAAGACGTCATCAACGTTGTTTAGTAATTCTTCTAATGTAATTATGGAGATGCCGTTTTCCATCTACAAAAAGTTTGCATATGCTACCATTATTGTTTTACTCAATACACATGTCCTTTTCTTTTTGTAATTACATCAAACCTAGATCTTTCCAGAAGCTGTCTGTTTCTATCGATTCTTTTTGAAAATAATCAAAAAGATTGCCCAATTGACGTCTTCTTCTTTTGCTACATACATTATATACCACAGCAGCATATAAACGAAGAAAAAGAAAAGAAAAGCAAATTTTTACTGAATAAATGTTTTTCGTCGAGAAAAAAAACAGTTAAGAGTGTGTTATTATGACAAACAATTATTAAACTCATTTTAGAATAGTGAAAAAAACTGTTTGTTTTTATTAATCTAATAAACAAGATGTTTTGTCTTCCATTAATGTTATCATATATAGACATGGTTCCTAATTATTTGAATCATTGTTACATTGATGAGAAAAAATACGATCATCTATTATCTCACAGATCATAATATTCTTTCATTAATCAAAAATTGAAGAATGGAATACCTCGTGTTAGCGTAAATTGAAAAATCTAAATTCAGTGAGTTTGAGTTTGGAATATTATTCAATTTCGTTTGTTTCTATATAGATTACGTGAGAATTGACTGATAATGAATATCTAATTTATATATGAATAAAATGAATTAAATTATTTTTATTTTTATAAGAAAAATTTCACTTGCGACTAAATCTTGATTATTTTCTTTTCAAATCTGATTTTTATGAGTCGATCGTTCAATATGCTTTTCATCTTCATTCATTTTCCATATAACAAAAACTGTTCTGTTTGTGAATATATTTGTCTCCAAGTAACATATCAACAAGGAAAAAGCGTTTTCCCAAATGAATATGTGTTTTTATAAAATTAAATAAAAGTCATGACTAGTTTCCCATTAGGCGAATGAAATGAAATAAGAAAAAGAGAGAGAGAGAAAAAAAGAAGAAAAAAATAGTTTTTTTCGCTCAACAGATGCTTTTTTTTTATTCTCAGTTATATTCACTTCATCAACTTGCAATCTAGTTGGTGATGGCTTCGAGAAGAATTTGTTTATGGTTTGTATTTATGGTTGTTACACAATCAGTTGGAGAAGATGTGCGATCAATTCGAATGTCTTTGATGCGTGGTCAGAAATTTCAATGTGCCACTCCAACATGTTTACCGTTCGCTAAAATGATTACGTCGACTATTATGAAGTGTCAAATGGCTTGTTTAGCTCAAATTTATTGTAAAGCAGCTAGTTTTCATCAATCAATTTCTAATTGTGAATTATTTACTGATATGTCTAATGAAATTGCAAATATGGCGACTGATACCGACATTAGTAGTATGATTGTTATTGCGGGAACACGATCTCCACCTGGTTAGTATGAATATAGTAGATTTTGAAAGAAAACAAAACATTTTCTTCTTTAATAAGCTTTATTCATAATTAGCTTGTTAATCAAGAATATGTGTCGAGATGAATCATGTAATGGTTCACTTTTTTATCATCTTGGTAGTATCGGAAATATCGAATATAAACAATAAGACAAAAAATTAATGCATTCGTTTTTACCAATTGATATAGAAATGATTAATTAAGGAGGGTTCCATTCAAAGTTAAGAAAAGGAAGAAAGAAAAACTTTTTTTGTTCATTCAATACTTATAATAAATAATAAATGATGAATGTTGAAGAAACGTTTTCTTTTTTTCTTTTCTTGGCTTTACAGTGAAAT